GTAGTGAGTATTCTTGGGAGGACCTGCATGTGTTCAGATTGTCATGTAGTGAGTGTCATGGGCACACCTTGTATGTGTTCAGATCGCCCTGTAGTGAGTGTCATGGGCACACCTTGTATGTGTTCAGATCGCCCTGTAGTGAGTGTTCTGGGGACACCCTGTATGTGTTCAGATTGTCATGTAATGAGTGTTCCTGGGCAAACCCTGTATGTGTTCAGATCGCCCTGTAGTGAGTGTTCTTGGGGACACCCTAGAATGTGTTCAGATCAGCACGCAGTGAGTGTCATGGGACACCCTTGTATGTATTCAGATTGTCATGTAGTGAGAGTTCTGGGTACACCCTGTATGTGTTCAGATTGTCGACATGTAGTAAGTGTTCTGGGGACAGCCTGTATGTGTTCAGATCGACTGTAGTGGGTGTTCTTGGGACACCCTGTATGTGTTCAGATTGTCATGTAGTGAGTGTTCTAGGGACACCCTAGAATGTGTTCAGATCGACATGTAGTGAGTGTTCTTGGGGACACATTGTATGTGTTCAGATTGTCCTGTAGTGAGTGTTCTTGGGACACCCTGAATGTGTTCAGATCGATCATGTAATGAGTGTCATGGGCACACCTTGTATGTGTTCAGATTGTCCTGTAGTGAGTGTTCTTGGGACACCATAGAATGTATTCAGATTGTCCAGGTTGATGTAGTGAATGATGCTATGGACAGACCCTGTATGGGTTCAATGATAAAAATCCACTGTAACACTGTGTACTAAGATCTCATGATCATGGGTTCAAACCCCCATATTCAATCTAAATATGATATGTTTGTTTTCTGAGGAAGAATCTTAAATTGACAGTGGTTCTAGTTGTCAGAATTTAACATTACTCTAATGGACTATGGGTTAGTCTGTATCTTAGTCCCTGAACCATATTATTTTCTCTTCCACCAAGCCCCATTCTGTTACCCAAAATTCAGTCTTGATTTTCCTCAGGTTCATGTTCAGAATCCCCTACGTCCAATGAAGTTTTATTTTAGACCACAAACTCTGGATATCAGGCTCCACATATTTCTCTTTTATTTGAATGAGTGATGGGTTGTTGATTTCTACAAAATCAGCAATATTCCAGCTATATCATAAAGAAATCCTGCAAGAGCAGCTGGATTACTATGACACCCAAGCCTATATTCAGGAAAGACATGGGGTCATGAGGCCCTATTCAGTGCTCTCAACCCTGTAGTTAAAGCGTTGGCTCATCATCAACCCTCGGGTTCGAATCCCCACATGGGTACAATGTGGCCCATTTCTGGTGTACCACTGACAATGCTGAAATATTGCTTAAAGCGGCGTAGTGAAAACCAAACTGTATGAGCCAGTCACTGAACAACTGGAAATAGTTACAGCAAGTGTCTAAGTGAGTACAGCTCACATTCCTAATTTGGGACATGGAAATTACAGATATTGATATATATATAATGTGACAAGGATCAGCAGCTCACAAGACTTCTCCTTGACTCCAACAAACTTTATGTACATGTTAGATAATAATTTTGCCATTTACTAATTACATTAATAATTGAACCTGGCATGTATAGCTTCAGAGAAAACCATCAAACACATTCTGCATCAAGTCATGTTTCCATGGAAACAGCAATAAATTAAATTCTGATCAACTTTAAAATAGCAAAGGCTCATCTGTTGGTCATGATTAATGTGTGTGTTAAGTTTGGTGAACCTAGCATGTATAGTTTCAGTGATATGCTCCGGACAAGATAACCATCCAGCAAGTCATGTTTCCATGGAACAGCAAAAAATGAAACTTTGTAGCGGGGGTATAATAATGAATACAAAACATCGTAATCACAATTTCTATGTTTAATGGCACTGAGGTATGAGCTTCACAAAGAGGCACATCATCATCTGATCTGTTCACAAATAGCACCAACAATGTACCTGTTTAGTAGTATTTACCCAAACAGGTATATTGTGAAAATACAGTGTATAAATAGGCAGGTATCAACAGAATGAGACCTATGAAAAATAAAAATCAGTTGGTATTTATTATGTAAATTTACCATGTTATAAGAATATAGGTATTCTCACAAAAAGGATTAAGCTTACATATAAGTTTCAGTGCAAATAAAGATCAATGGAAACAAAAAAATACAATCGAGATCCAGAGTCCAGATCCCTGAAAAAGGGATGCAACACTTGATTTACACAAAGGAGCTAACTACTAAAATACTCTTGAATTCAGAGACTCTTGTGGACCATATCATCTGTTACATAATGAGTTGTCTGAACCACGATAACAGGCTAAATTAATATAATAATTCGTTATGCTTACCCATTGAATATTATTCATGTTTGAGATTCAGCACAATGAAGATAATATTTCATAGAGTTACTACTACCATGACACCTCAAAACACCACACATATTGAATACTGCAGTTCAAATGTCATAATTTAATACAATCTTGATTCAGGACAGCATGCATTCACACTCACACAAAAACAAGAGCTATCACAATCCAAACAGCAATACAATGAGTCAATCTCATCAAATACACTCTTATCACGATATGATACCTCTGTTACCTGAGGGTTTCTGATACCCAATCTTTCCACTCATCTCCCTTATTATATTTTCTATATGAATATGAATTTGGTTACTCTGGTCAATGCACTTCCATTTACAATGACTCTTCTTAACACCTGAAAATATTGTGAACATATTGAGCCACCTCCAAAGGAGATCATATGTAAACTATTCAAACAAGCATCTCTTTTTTCTGTGTCTCAAAAATGAATATAATCTGGGAATCCTGGCCACAAAACAGAAACCTGGGCTATTAATTATGTGTCCTACTCCTTATGAACACCATGACAATCATTATCGAAGAGTGAGTGAGTGAGTGAGTATGGTTTTACGCCGCTTTTAGCAATATTCCAGCAATATCACGGCAGGGGACACCAGAAATGGGCTGCACACATTGTACCCATGTGGGGAATCGAACCCGGGTCTTCGGCGTGACGAGCGAACGCTTTAACCACTAGGCTACCCCACCGCCCCTTATCAAAGAGGATGTATTATCGAGACTTAACGAAGTATTTCTGTTCTGTTTCTTTTGCTAAGATAAAAATTTCCATTTCAACGTGGTTAAGAAATTAACTTAAATTGTTTTGCATGCAGATATTTAGACCCATGATTTCTTCCTTTGGATGGGTGGTCAAAGTATGCTCAGGGTTCCCAAGTGCAAGCTCTGATGGGGTTCCATTAGATCTACACAGAGGTATCAAATCTGAATAAATGATATGATTATAAAAAAAGTGTACAGTATGGTGGAAGTATGGTCAAATCACTACGATCACACATCAAAGAAACAATCCCTGGTGCACAAAGTTGTCTTATGACTTCAAAAATTACACAATGAAAACAGAGAACACGATGAAAACCAAAAACTAATATTGCACAAAAATAAAATGGCATTATCAGTGCAAAATGTCAGTACCAGTATTGCTGCAATGTGTGAAAACAAACAGCTGATACAATAGTATCTCATTTACAAAAACTGACATTCAGACTAAATTAGTCATAGTTTTTAAATGACCTGTTGGTTTAGAAAACGCCTAAATTTGTTAAATATCATACACTTAATTACTTGAACCACTTTTGTTCCTTATTCCTTAAAGAGTCCACTGATAACTACTGATATGTGCGGTATTCTATAGGCAGTGACTAAATGTACAATAACAATAAATCAAGCAACTAATCTACATTTTCAAAACCAACCACAAATACCAGCTTTGTGGGAAAATAACTTATCAAATAACATGTTTAAAAAACATCTATGTACATACAAAATACTTCATAAATATTTTCTTAAATATCAGTCATGATTATGAAAATCTTGCAAACGTATCAATATAACATTTGCTCAGGCACTTATATGACATCATAGAGACGATGTCATCTATGACATCATAGAGATGATGACATCATGCTCATTGTTAGTGCTATGCTCAGTATTAGACAAAATGGACTTACAATTCCGTACAAGATTATTATACTCTACATTACAACAAGCATGCATGAATTCATGCATGTTGGTTTAATGTCACTAATGTTGGTTTTATTGTGCTCACCCACTAACACCATGCTGCAGTCTTACATAGATACTGTACTCGGACACAGTATAATGACTCAGAACCGACTTCTTAATTATCTGACTTCTAGGGCTGTTTAATGTCAGTGTGTGGGCTCTATGATCTGTTAGCATAAACTGTTGCTTTGTGGAATGGGGTCCAGGTCCTATAAAAAATTCAGATTATCACCATGGGTCCTTCTGATCTGTGATTATTAGAAATGAATGGTTTGGTGGACCCATGGACTCTTCTTATTGTCAGCTATTATAATGTAAAAAAATTGCAACACTATATATACTACCCATCAAAGTTTAGACTCACTAGTGTAAATATAGCCACTTACTTCAGGGGACTGTTGTAAACTACATTTTTCAAAATATTCCATAATGTTTAAAGGAACTGTTTACACATGAACTGGTGTATTGTAAAACAAATTTGCAACGATGAAAAGATTATTGTCATGAGATTAATAAATGATGAAACTAAGTGAAAATTGGCGAATTCTTAACAAAACTTAACACCAAAGCGCAGCTGTACAAATTCACGATATTTGCACATGCTTTTTCAGCAATGTGATGCATGATCCTCGTGAAATTCATCTGTATAAGGTTTGCAGTTGGTTCCCCAAGTTAGTGGAGAAATCAATCTTCGATCTAACCATATATATATACATAACATATAGTGAGTTCTCTAAGTGAGTCTAAACTTTTGATGGGAAGTGTACCTTCAAATTTTTCTGTTAATGACCCTCCAAAGATTATATATTCATAACAAATTTTCAATCTTGTCAAGATATTAGGTAGGATGTCAAACGACACCTCCCACATACCCTAATAACAACATGACATAACTATGCAGTCAGTCTAGGTTGGTCTGAGGTTTCTTCTCTGTCCCATCATAAGCTCCTCGTCATCCTCATCCGGTTCCTCCACAACATGGCAGTTTCCCATACTTCCATAGCACTGCTTTATGGCCTCCTGACAGTCATTGTAGTCCTTCCATGGTCGAAACAGGAGGGTGTCGATCAGCTTGAGATGGTCAACAAGGAACGGTAATGCTGCGTCCCTATCCTCTCCTTTAAGCACCTTGTCCATGCTGCCTTGGAAGAACTGCTCCGACTTTGACAGATGGAGCAGGTCTGGTGTGATGTCCATCACCTCTCTACAGTCAGAGCATATGGCTCGAGTTGTGTGGTTGTCTGCTGGGATTCGGACTCTGCCAATCTTGCATTTCTTACACTTCAATACTGGATCTTCTCTTCTGATTTTGTTATACATTGGCCAGTTGCTTACACATGCATAGCAGTTGCAGGTGAAGTAATACTGTGCAACCAGCTTCTCTTGACGCATCTGCTTACTTGTGACTGGATACAGGACCCCATAATTGTCAAATATTTCTTCTCCTTTGGATATGTTTCGTATTGCCCGTACAACACATTGGTTTCCATATAAATGTCGGACAACTGACGGATCACAAGAATGGTTGATCAAGCTTAATGTTGAATAGATAGCTGATCCAATTTCAACTGGCTCTGACATTTCAACACTATATGTTTTGTACAGAAGCTCAGACACTTCATGAGCATTGCAAGGAAGCATCTGTGTATGTCTAAGGATGTGTCCACCAACATAAACGCTCTCCTCATCAACATCACTATCTTCAGCACCTTCTGCAGCAGCGAAGAATTCAGACTTCTCAATACATTTCACCAAGAACACAGCACCAAGAGCCCTTCTGAACAAATCTGGACATGACCTGTCATCAGTGTGGTTCACCAGATTATACACCGAATGATAATCATCTGAATCATACACACCATTCTCATTGCAGCCAAGGAGAAGAGGATCACTCATCTTCTCTTCTGCTTTCTTCTGGTACTCCCGTAGGAACTTCTGTCCAACTTTCAACACCATTCTCAAGGCCAAGTGTGCCATACCAAGCTCAGATCTCTGGATAAGATCATGATATTTGCACTCTGCATAGTGGTAGGACTTCATCGCTGTGTCCAGACACTCCTCACTACAGAAAACCACACCACTGCACTGGTCGCAAGGCAATGGGCAATACACTTTGTTGCAGCAGTGATGGCAATGTGTCAGGTTGTACTCCCTGAGGGTGACAGATGTGAATGGTTTCTCAATTATCAACACCTCCCCTACTTCTATGTCTCTGGTTGCATACAGACCTCTTCCATGACCATCTGTAGACTTCATGACAAGTGAATTTACCATACATGGGATGTGGGAACTTCGACTTTCTTTAAACTCTGGAATCTGTGTATGGTTGTGGTTGTAATCACGAACATTCTTAAATTTTCCTCCTGGAACAATTTTGTTACACTTTTCCAACTGCTTCATCAAATCTGACTTCAAAGTGGCAACTTTCTTTTGATCTAGTTGAGTCTTGTCCAGAACATTAAGAGAATCGTTAAATGCACAGATGGCCTCCTCTTTCAACCGAAGTGCATAGCAAGCTTTTCCTCTGCGTTCATACAACTTATACTGCAGATGGTCTGGATAACTGTGCTTGAAAGCTTGTCGGATATCTTGCAAACAAAGGACATAGTTGTGCAAATGATATAACACAGCAGATCTGTTGCCCAATGCAAGGGCTAGTTCAGTGCTTCCTTTTGAAGGGGCATTAATAATACAGTCAGAATACAGCTTGAGAGCAGCATCATAGTCCTTCTTTTGGAAAGCTAGGTTCCCTTGGATTCTCAGATCCTTTGCTTCATCTTCATCTTTAGCCTTGTAGGTCTCCTTCACATTAAGAACCTCATGGACATCTTCAATATTGTACAAACATGCAACCCTTTCTTCATCTGTCATACATTTCTTAAAGCTATCCAGGATTTTATCAAGCTGGCCTTTCCGACTAAGTCTTTCACGGACAGTCTTCACCCATGTTGTTAAAGTAGGGGCCATAAGAGATGAGGAGAAACTGGAGTATGCTGGCTTGGACTTTTTCTTCACTTGTGGATTTTCTGATGGTGCACTGTCAGGGTCTTTAGTCTCAGCCACTGCTTCTTTAGTATCAGAGACATCCGATGTTTGGACTTTGGACTCAGCACCCTCAGGTACCTTCTGTCCAGCAGTGCCCTGTGGTTGTTGTTGCTGTTCACTCTTTGCCTCCTCTGTCACTGGTTTCTTGGATGCAGGATTACTCTCTGCTGCCGGCTCAGGTGGCTTCTCCTGGGAAGATGTTACCGATAACTCATCCTTCAGTTTCTCTTTACTGCTTGACTCGAGGGTTGGTGATGCTTGGTTTGATGCTTCAGTTGACTCTTTGGGTGATACTTGGTCAGGTGTTTTAGCTAAAGATTTCCCATTACCTTTACTGAATGATTCTGGGGATGATACTTGGTCAGGTGTTTTAGCTAAAGATTTCTCTTGACCCTCACTGCTCAATTCTGGGGGTGATACTTGGTCAAGTGTTTTAGCTGAAGATTTCTCTTGACCCTTACTGCTCAATTCTGGGGGTGATACTTGGTCAAGTGTTTTAGCTGAAGATTTCTCTTGACCCTTACTGCTCAATTCTGGGGGTGATACTTGGTCAAGTGTTTTAGCTGAAGATTTCTCTTGACCCTTACTGCTCAATTCTGGGGGTGATACTTGGTCAAGTGTTTTAGCTGAAGATTTCTCTTGACCTTTTACTGCTCAATTCTGGGGGTGATACTTGGTCAAGTGTTTTAGCTGAAGATTTCTCTTGACTCTCAATTCTGGGGTGATACCAAGTGCTTTTCTCTTGACTCGAGAGGTGATGTTGGATTAGGTGCTTTTAGCTGACGCATTTCTCTTCCCTTCTTTTTCTGTAGTATCTTTCATCTTAGAGGGAGATGCAACATTTGATGCCTGAGATTGTGAATTGACTTCTTTTCCTTTTGAAGTAGGCTTGTCAGTCGAAGAAGGACTTTTTGGCTTGCTTTCAACAGTATCTTTGCTTTCAGACGCAGGTTTATCTGTTCCAGCAGGTTTTGAATGTTGTGGTGTACTCTTGGTACTCTTGGAATTAGTACCATTACCTTTTGAAGCAGTTTTATCAGTTTCTAGTGATGATTTGAGCTTATCTTTGCTACTGGCAGCATTTTTTCCTTTGGAAGAAGCCTTTTCAGCATCTGACCCTTTCGCTTGTTGCTGCTTACCCTTGCTTCCACTAGCAGAATCTATTGAACCTTTTGCTGGCTGTGAATTTGTCTTGCTCCCATCAGCAACTTTATCCTTTGAAACAGAGGCTCCTCCAGGTTCACTTTTGGCTCCAGCTGAAGCCTTATCTGATGATGGAGTGGCTTTAGAGGTTTCAACTTTTGAATCTTTGCCAGCCTTGCCATCTCTTCCTTTGGAAGGGTTAGTTTCAGCTGGCATACTCTTGGGTTGCTGTGGATTAGGCTTGGAATCTTTTACAGTGTCCTCTTTCCTTTTGGTATCAGGATCACTGGACTTCTGGGTAGGTGGAGATTCTGCAACACCAGCTGCTGCTCCCTCTCCACCTGCAATATCTGGCTTTCCTTTGTTATGCTGAGGTCCTGTGGGCACCGACTGTGACTTCTTTCCTGATTTTCCATTTTTATCTCCTCCAGGTTGTCCTGAACCATTGCCATTTGGTGAAGCTGTAGCAGTTGTCTGTTTTGCTGCTGCTGCGGCTTCTGCTGCTTTCTTTGCCTCCTCCTCCTCCAAGTCAATGACTATAACCATCGTAGCTGCTGGACTGTCCCCTAGCCTGTTCCTAAACCCAACAGAAGAAATTAACTGTTAATTGACATAAATAATCACATGAAATTGAACATCAAATTTTGGATAAAATTAAGCCATAAAATGTTAAAATTTACCATGATATATACTACACCGAATAAGCAAAAGAACACTTTATGACTATAGTTATACCACCAGGAACTTAAAGAGCTCATTATCAAAGTTGTCCAAATTTCAAATCTTGTGACACATACACTATGTACACATGACAAAACTATTATGAGCATTACAATAATAAGAAATTGTACATAAAAATGCAAACATAATGTTATTTCTGTTCACAAAAGGTGTTGTTTTGACATTTTCATCAATTATATTTTACGAGCAAAATAGACAATGGTAAACATGGTAAAAATGGTACTCAAATCCAAATGTAAATGACATACTTTCAGTGGTAAGAGGAAACAACTCTATCCCTGAATACCCAGTTCCTAGGGTCTGTGGGGTAGCCCAGTAAATAAAGCATTGGCTTCTCATACTTAGCTCCCACTTTTGAGGCCCTTGTGTGAACCCAGTTGTCACCCTAATGGGCCCTAATGTCCCCTGCCATGATATGCAGGGAATAATGCTAAAGGTGCTGAAAGTCGCAATAAACCAAACCCTATTTCTTACTCATCCTTAGCTCTAAAGTGTTCATACAATAGAGGACTATAATGTAGTCCCCTTATGGATACTCCCCATTTACTACAGAGAGAAATTAGTATACACATAAAGAAATATGGAATTTGACATATGCCTAGATCTATAATAATATTTACCATGGTTACAGTAACCATGGTGGCATTTAACTTCAACTTGGTTACAGTAGACTGAATGCCAACCAGTCAGAATGTCCAAATCCTTTTTAAACCTCCATGGTTACAACTTACATATTTGAAGCACATGCAGCCTATTTGGTTACAGCTAATGTTCAATGGCAGACACAAATCTTAACGCAAAGTTAAAATAATCACAGGACATGCAGCATGTGGCAATTCTTTATATGTTAACCATGTTGTATCCAGCACCTACAAATTCACTCAACTCTTCTTCTCAAATATCCATCACACGACTTGGTAATGTTTATAATAAAACATCACACTGCATAAATACACAAATACTATAACAAAACACCGTATCATCACCATCAGGAACATTAACATTGTCACCAGTTAATTAAACGCGTGTTTCGCGAATGTTCTATCAGTCTTACATATTTACACCTGCGTTATGACATAAACTCAAACAAATGGTCAACTGAGATTCACAATATCCCAACACAAACAATAATTGGTAAATAATTGGTCAACAACTGATCG